GATGATGATGATGATGATGATGATGATGATGATGATGATGATGATGATGATGAAGATGATGATGATGATGATGATTTTATCCCGCTTTTAAAGAAGCCCAAAAGGTCGAAACGTCGAACGTATTTTGGAAATGTCATAAAATTTCAACCCAGAAATACTCAAGTCTCCATATTATGCTTTGTTTGTTTGTTTTGTTACAGACACACTGATGATGACGATAATAATGATAATGGTGATTTTTTTTTTGTTTCCTTAATGGGCCTGTTGGACTCTACGAAGAAATCTTCGAGCGAGAGCGAGGCTCTTTTTCGGCTCCATTGTCATTATACTTAGAAGCACCTCCTCTCGTACAAATAACTACTTTCGAATTTCATTATTCCTGGACATACAAACATATTTGACGTCCTCCTTTTCATGGCTGCATCTTTGGCAACGTAGGCTGAGCTCTTCATTCACAAAGTTCTTATACCCTCTCAAGCTCCAATGATGGTCCGGCCGCAGTCTCGCTAGCGCAACCTGGTCCCAGCGACATGTGATATTTTGTTCTTGCTTTTTGGAGTACCCAGAATACACATCTTTCATGTGCTGGTACTTAGCTCTGCTTGGTGGGTCTCTGATTTCCCTCTTGGTCATTGGAAAGACTCCTCTGTATGTTGTTCGTCGTCTGTCTCCTTCAATCTCTCTGGCTTCATTGGCAGCCTCATTCCCTTCCATTCCAACGTGGCTTGGAATCCACTGGATTTTTAAAATTGTGGCTGTGGTTTCACTGAACTTGCGGAGCAAACATTTATGTTTGAGCTGTTGCCTAGCAGTCCCTTGTAGTTGGACTGGCTGTCAGTCAAGATCAGGGCATTGGTTCTACTGTGGCAATTCTCAGCAATCCATGATGGTGATGATGGTGATGTTGGTGATGATGATGATGGTAATGATGTTGATGCTGACAATGATGATAAACCCTGCAATGCAACACAAGAGCCATTTCATTGATGCCTCCCAGACTGTATATCTTAATTTTACCACTAGTGTCTGTGGTACAGCGATCAGGCACTTCGCCGTCCATCGCAGGCAGAGCACCCCAGTTTGATTCTCTTGTGGGGATAATGTTTGTCAAGTATCTCGGTCTTTCTGCTCGGACGTTGTATCCTTTTGAGCCAGGGTTGTCCCTCAACAGGCAGGGACAAAACCTGTCTTTTAAACTGACTAAATTGTATCTATTGGGGTGGTAGAAAACCAACATGAAATAAACTCTTCGAACAATCTATATGTTGTTGTTTATTATCAATACCTGCATGCCCACACCGCCAAAGATGAGGCAGCTGAAGTGGAAGATACAGGCGAATGGGCTGGTGGCCATTGCCTCGTTGAGCAACACTCCGACTCTTAGATACAGGGCTCCTGGAAAAATGAAAAAATGTACATTAGTATAGGTTTAGAGCACCTATCAACCTTTAAATGCTAAATTAATATCTTCGAACGCGTGGACAACGAGGCGCAAAGGAGTGAACGCAATAATATCACGTTAACACGCTTTGATATGGAGCGCTGTGCCGAAAGCAACGAGCCAAATATGAAAATCGCGTAAGTAGCCTTCCCCCAGGGCTTCTGCAGG